TTCGCGATAGGCTGCCAGAACCCCCGTGCATATCCTCCTTACAGTTATTCTACACCAGCATTATTATCTTTACATACGAATAGTATACATATGTACGACGCGACACGGAATGAAAAAGAACAGAACAAATAAATGAACGAACAAACGAACGAAAGAGAGAGAGAGAGAGAGAGAGAGAGAGAGAGAGAGAGAGAGAGAGAGAAAGAAAAAGAGAAAGAAATTCGTTGGCGATGCGAGCATCCACGGCATAAATCGGCTGAAGGGAAAAGTTTTTGGGTGCGGAGAGTTAGCAGTCGGTATCTCGCACGGTGGTAATGGTGGTGGTGGTGGTGGGTGGTGGTGGTGGTGGAGATGGTGGCGTCGTCGTCGGCGTCGTCGTCGACGAATACGTATATGCACGTATATACATAGGTGTTACATACGTAGATACGTAGGTAATACGTACGGGGCCATATGTGTATGCGGTTTTATCTGGCGGTACTTGGGGATGTTGCGGGTTGATTTATCGCCTGTCGTTGCCATGGAAACCTCAGCGTGACCGGCTTGCGCGACACCCTCATATCCGAGTCGACTCTGCTTGCTTTCCTCTCCCACGCGCGCGCACCACCTTCTCCTCTTTTCTCCTCTTTGCTATCATCGTCTCACGGTTTCTCTCACACTCCCCTATACACTTCGTATTTCGATCCTTCTCCCACCCCAATTTTCATCTCACTCCTCTATCTCTTTCCTTTCGATTCAAGCAAGCAAGCAAGCAAGCAAGCAAGCTAGCAAGCAAGCTAGCAAGCATGCAACTATCTCTCTCGCACTTTCCCTATTTCCTCTGAACCCTCCTCCACCCTGTACCTACTCCTCGTACTATTGCTACTACTCTTTCGCTCTACCTCTTTCGCTCTACCTCTTTCGCATCTCTCTTCTCTCTCTCTTAGTCTTTTCTCGCTCACTCTTTTTGCCGTCCTTTCTTCTTATCCTCTCTTTCCGCTTTTACCTTTGTCCCTCTCTAACCTCATCACTATGACGTCTCGACATACCTTCCCCCCAGCCCCTCTCTCTCTTTCTCTCTCTCTCTCTCTCGAGCTTACTTTAACTTCCCCACCTACAGATCTCATCCCCCTTTTATAGTTTCTATCTCTCTTGTTTCCTTCCTCGCTTATCTCACAGGAATTGTCCTTCTCTTTTCAACTCCCTCTCGCTTTCTCTCTCTTTAGGTTCGGAACTCTCTGCACCTTCTACTATACACTCTGTCTGCTCGTCCCTTTTCTCTCTTCCTCTCCTCTCAGTCTATCTTCTTCTCGTTTCCTTTTCTTCCTATTTTTTTTCTCCCCCTTTTCCCAACCCTTCTCCCACCCTTTCTCTCTATCTCTCTTTTACTCCCTGAGTTTGTCTCTCTTTTCCATCGACCTCTTGCTTCCTCCCCATTCCTCGTTGCCCGTCCCATTCTACACCACTACCTCCTCCCTCTCCTTTCTCTTTTGTACTTCGACTCATAACCACCGTTGCTCTCCTTCGCTTTCCATCTTTTACTCCCTCGGGTTACTCTCTCTCTCTCTCTCTCTCTCTCTCTCTCTCTCTCTCTCTTTCTCTCTTTCTCATTCCCTCACTCTTTCTCTTTCTTTTCCTCTTTTATTTTCTTTTATTTTCTTTGTACTCTTTCCTTCTCACTCTTCCACACTCTGTATCTATCCTATTCTCTCTCATTCTCTCTTTTTCTTTCTCTTTCTCTCTCTCTCTCTCTCTCTCTCTCTCTCTCTCTCTCTTTTATTTGTTCTTTCACTCTTTTTCTATTATTCTCTCCTTCTTTCACTCTCTCTTCCTTTTTCTATCTCTTTCTTCCTTTTCATCTCTCTTTCTGTGATGCAAGCTTGCTCTTCATCATAGTCACCCACCCACTCCTCGTTTCTCTTTTCTCTCTCTCGCTCTTTCGTTTCACCAACTCTACTCTCATCATCCCTTCGATATGCACCCCTTACCACTGTCAGTCTCTACTCCTACGTGCAAGGTTGAAACCCCCCTGGAGAAACGTCAAGGAGCTGACTACTACCGGCACAGAATTCTGTTCAAAGAAAAACTTTTACGTATTTACCCCCTTCGCTCTATTTCTTTTTCTCTTCCTATCTACCTTTTTTTCTTTTTTTCTTCTTCTTCTTCTTCTTCTTCTTCTTCCTCTTCTTCTTTATTCTTCTTCTTTTCTGTTCCTGTTCTTACTTATTTCTTTCCTACCTATCTTCCTACCTTTAATTGTTCTCCAAAAGCCAAAAAGTTTTCAACGATCATCTAACGTTCGCACTTTCTATCTTGTCCTTCCTTTTGATAATCTTTCTTTTGTTTCTAGTCATTCTTATCAAATTAATAACTTCCGAAATTATAAATCTTAGGTAACTAAATCGCAATATAAGATAACCAGTTATTGATCTATCAACAGGCGAATTTATGATTAACCAATCTGTAATTGGGCAATCCAAATTTATCTCAATAGTTATCAACTTACGGATCTACTTTTAATTACAATATAGGGAAATTAATTTATCTTAGAAATTGTATACAAATTATTTCGAATATTCTATGTCCTTTGACATTCCTTTTTTCTTGTTTCTAACAATTAAAATAACAAAAATTGACTAGTTTGAAGTATTATTAATTGTTCAATTAGTTGTTTATCTCGTCCAAAAATAAAATTATTAATAAATGTGTCACAGGGAAGTTGGACAGGTTAAAAATTTAGAATGTTATTTCGATCTTATTATCTAAGATAATATACGATATATAAGATAATAATAAGATTATCTTAAATAATAAAATCGAAATAACGTTCTTAATTTTTAACCTGTCCAACTTCCCTGTGATACATTTATTAAATATTAATTATCTTCAATATCATCGCGATGATAAAAAAATGAATAAAAGAATTGAAACTTTTCGAAAAATATTTCAAGAATTCTTGATTCTACATCGAAGAGACATCTAGGAAAACCTTTTATCGACAGATTCTATACGAAACGTACAATTATCTTTTTTACAATTTGTATTATATTTAAGGTAGGTAAATCAAATTTCTAATTTATCGACAGTAAATAATTTGTTCAGATGGTAAGACAATAAATATAGAAAATTTGATAAATTTCGAAGCAAATGATTGATTTTGAAAACTATTTTTTTAAATTTAGATTAGAGTGGAAACCTAATCACAAGTAGCGTGCGTTTTATTTTATATACTCATACTGTATATAAATATATATATTTATTTAATATTTTCTTTTCAAAATAATTATTCATTTATATTTTTAAAAATCGAGGGACGAAGAAAATCATTCGTTTAAAAAACATTATTGTTATAAATGTTACGTTAAGTTGAGCAATCCAACTGGTTTGAAAAAAACGTTGAAACTTCGTGAGGCAGCAACGCGAAAGGAAAGATGCAACAGAAAGAATGAGGATCGATAATGGTGGGCAAAGAAAAGGGTACGACGGCAAGGAATGAAGAAAAAAAAAAAACCGAAAAAATATTCTAGACCACTCTTTGTTGGTTTTATTGTTATCAACTCGTTGCAGTTTTTTCATGGGAGATAACGTAGGCTGCATTTTTCAAAAATGCCCGTTTTGTTTCTGTTTTTATTTCGTCGTAAGAATGCTATTTTCATTGATACACTGAAAATTCGAAATAAATAATAAATGTTTATAATGAAAATATATTGTGCATTATGGATATCCGTAGACATTGTAGAAAAAAAAAATTGGTGTGTGTATTTATGTACGCACGTAAGAAGTTATACTTCTTTAGCGTAACAAAACGAATATAACCTGAAAAATAACTTCAATTTGCCCGCGCATCGTAAATATCGACAACTTCGTGGTGTTGATTTTTCGGTCGCATTTAACTTCACTTTCCAAAACGCGCCAAAAGAAGTATAGCTTTAAAAAGTTAAATTTTACACGGTTTTTTTTCAATGAAATACCGTCTATCTATCTACTCTACAGCAGAATATTAAATTAGTATATATGAATGTGAACCGATTGGAATCGGTTTATACATACAGATCAGTGCATCATACAAATTGAGCTATATAAATTCAAGCTGTTCGTATGCCCGCAAGCAAAACCGAAAATAATCTCTTCCGATTAGAAGATCTATTCACATGTTAATCCTCGAGGTGACTCGTTATCGTCGAAACAATCCATTCTAATCTTCTAAGTCGAAAGACACGTTCGCGGTTTTTCCTTCTTTTTTTATTTATCCTAACAATTGCGTATCAGGCACGCGTTTCAATTACTTATGTGGAGTTTATGAGTAATATTACAAAAAACATTGGAGAAAAAAAGTCTACTTAAGTAGTTGGTTAATACACCAGAATATTGCGCGAGTAGGTTGTTCCCCGTGAATGAAAGAAACACATTTAAACCTAAAAGCGTTCACTATCGTTAAAGACTATTACGCGATTCGTTGTCACGAAGCTTGTGTCTTATCTTGTGGAAATAAAAACTAAATAAAAATGAAAAGAAAAAATATTAACGATTTTTGTTTTCCTATAAATAAGCTGTCTCCGATGCATCGTACTTATTATAATTGTGTATTTACGCTTAACGAATCTTTCTTGGTTTCTTGTCATGTCGCCATTTCACGGAACAACTTTGATTTTCTTCCTTTTTATCAATACAATTTACTTTCAGGTAAAATACAATTTACTTCCACGAATATTTTCATTGTTAATCGATATATTTATTTATTAATGATAAGTATTTAGTAAAAAAAATAAAACTGATGTGTGTACTTATGTAAGCACGTAAGAAGTTATTCTTCTTTAGCGTAACAAAACGAATATAACCTGAAAAATAACTTCAATTTGCCCGCGCATCGTAAATATCGACAACTTCGTGGTGTCGATTTTTCGGTCGCATCTAACTTCACTTTCAAAAATGCGCCAAAAGAAGTATGACTTCAAAAAATGATCTATTAATTAGAGTATTTTTCTATTTTATTAGCTCATAAAATGAATGATCATTTTCAGAATGTCGAATCAACGATAGACATTTTTGGGATACTTGAAACACCTCGACGCATGTATTGTCAATTTAATTGCGTCGATATAAACACATGGAATTTTATTTGGAATTCGTTGTGTTTGAAATTATGTCCCGAATTGGTATTGCTCGTAACCACTACAAGTCCACCAATGACAATGACAACAAGTACTACACCGAAACAAGAACCTACAACGACAACTGCAATCACTTCGTCTAATGCACCTTCATCAAATCCTTCATCAAATCCTTCATCGAATGCAGGGACAACAACGGTGGCTTCTTCATTGATGACTACTTCTTCTTCCTCGTCGGCAGGTTCAACAACATCATCTACTACTGTAAGTGGTACAAGTATGGGTTCTTCAACGTCAACTATGATGATGGGTTAATAATTTGAATCATTTTATTGTATCATATTGTGTTTATCATCCCATCAGAGAAATGGAAGATGGCGTTGCGTGTTCGAAATGATTTGATAATGATCAAATTTAACTTTGTATTTCTCGCATTTTTTAATCGCATTTAATAATAACAGATGCACTTTTACCTATGTAATTATTTCTCCTTTTTGTATACTAACAATAAAAAAAGAATATTCCTTTTTTTTTCGTCTTTCTTTCGTCTATTCTATCGTCTTTTTTTCATTAAATTTTCTAAGTTTGTAATTATATATAATTTGCATATTGCATCGTCATAATTAGATTAAAAACAGATTAAAAACAGATTAAAAAAAAAAAAGTTAAAAAGGTAAAGAAGAGGTATAAAATACCAGTTTGATCGTAACACGTCAAACATGTAAATCGATGACGAACAACAATCAAACGCGATAAAAACTACAAAAAAGAAAATAAAAGGGAATGAAAATAAAGATTACGGTGGATCGACGTGTAGAAAAGAAGACCTTGCTCTCGTTGTGAAAGTTAACGTGTCGTCTACGAGCTATTACGAGAATCTTGTGTCCTCTCACTTTCTGCATACGTTTACGGGGAATTGATTATCGATGAATTACCATTGGCCGATCCTCGTAAAACTTAATTAACACTAATTAAATTAATTACAAGTTGTGGTTATTGTTGTTAATGACCGACAAGATTCGAGTCTTTAAAACACCAAGCACTTTAACTCAAATGTTATTATTTTCCATGTAAAAGTAACAAATCGTCGTTACGTGATTAAGTGTAACTTAATGGTTACTTAATATTATATAAAAATAAAAACCCATTGATACGATTTTGTAAAATTAACCCTAAATACCGTTAAAAAATTACACCTTGAATACGAGAAAAACTTTCAAACTATATTCCCTTTTGATTTTGATCAAATTATTAATAAATGAAAAATACTATTAAAAAGGGGTGTGTGTGATCATTGAAATATCGTATAACAAGGAATGAAAAAAATCAATCTCTCTCGCGAAATCCCGAGGACTCTAACATAAGAGGTGCATCGAGATGCAAGATTGCGCAGAGAACGCGTGCGACGAAGCGAAAGTTGATCTTTGCTACACAACAAGTTGTGGAATATGGTTCTTTCGAGATAGCGTACGCGATCAGGGTCGAGTTGTTGAAGTACTCGATGACCACCCTGATTCAGACGATATTATAGTTAGACGATTCGGAAGAATAATCAATCGAAATTGATCGTACGTAAGGAGAAACTTTATCTTTTTATTTCTTTTTCTCAAATCAGTGTGTCAGGTGTGTACTTTTTCGAATTACAATTAATTTCGAAAAAGGCAATAATACTTTCATTTACCTTCCTGAAGAATTTCGAGAAGAAATTCAAAAAAGAAAGAGAGGGATTATAGTTTATGTAGTCAGTGTTGTATATCATTTCTAAAATGAAAATAGTGTAATATTTAGAAAGCACGCATGATTGAAACTAAAATTCTAATATTTAAAATCGATCTCGATGAAATTGTTCATAAACGTTACCATGCTTGCATAAAATTTCTTGCATGCCTTGTCGTTTCTATTTTTCCAAGGACCTTGACAAATCCAGCCCTTGCTTCCAAAAAATACGACTACATAAATTTCACTTGAAAAATTGCAGAAATTAAGGTCCACCTTTTTCCTGTGTTGAATTATAAAGAATTTTGTTCACGTTCTATAATGAGAACACGAGTAACTATTACTCCTGCATTGTTTCGTATTAATTGCTATCAACGTTGACGAACAAAAATTGGATGAATATATACTTACGCAGATGCATAAGTACTTACATATGTACGTGTAAGTATGTAAGTACTTTGGAGAAATTCTCTGGTTCGTCTTTTACAATCTCTTACGAAACAACGAGTTGAATTCTCGTGTGTAGATTTATTAACAGAGAGGTAGGTAATTGTTGAAGAAAAAATCGTATCACGAGACCTGATCCGTCCTACTTACGAGGGACGTCTCTTTCCCTCACTCCCTCTCTCACCCTCACTCTCTCTTTCTTTTTCTCGATCTCAATCTCTTTCACCAACTTATGCTTGATCGCCTTCTACAAAAGACTCCTTTCTCTTCTTCCTTTTCTTTTACGCCGAAACAAATTTAGAATGAAGATTGATCATTGGCAATTTTTTAAAGGAGTAGGAAACATATTTGTATCACGTGTTATTTTATTACATTTTAAATGATAATCCTACTTTTATTATATCAAACATAGAATTAACTAGAAAGTTCGTGCCGGTTTATAATCAGGCAAATATCTAATATATATTTTTACTAAATAAACATATAATTTTTAATAACAACATTTAATTGATATGACAAATTTCTATAAACAAAAAATATATATTATATAAACCGGCACGAAGTTTCCGGGTAACACGATAT